ATGGAACGCCTAGCCAAAGCCGACGTGAAATACGGATTCGTATTGGATTTTTTCACAGAGGAATAGGATGGATTGAAAAGGTAGGGATGTAGAATATGCAAATTGTAAGGAAGATGATGTAAATATTAAATTATTAGATGTTAATAGTATTATAAATGTATGAATTTATATATTGTTCAATATATTGTATTTTTTGAATTTATATTTATTTGGTAATCAACACAAGAGAACAACTCTAATAAAAAATTCAACTACCATTCAAACTAATAGTTTGGAGAGTATATGTACAACTACACAAACCTGCAGTATTAATAACATTTAGACAATCAAAACAAACAGTTGTTTGAAATACTACAAAAACAGTAGTTCATATTTGTAAAATACAATGCGAAATAATGGTTGTCTGAAGCAAATTTCTTTAGTAATCTTTAGAGTAGTTGTCTCATAAACAATTCAACTACTGTTATAAAAGATAGTTTGAATACTTCAAGAAAAACTACAAAACACCATTGTGTTAATAATCAATATACAACTAAAAGAAACAGTAGTTTGAATAAGAATAATGTTAGTAGTCCATATTCTAGAAATACAACAAAAGATAACAGTTGTCTGATGTCATTTTTGTTTAGTAGTCTTCCGAGCAGCAGTCTGATATATCTTTCAATTACTTTTTAAAGTAGATGTCTATATTATTGAACGACAACACCAAGAATTAGAAGTCTAAAGTTAAAAACAACAGTAGTATTCATTATAGATAGACAACCAAAAATCATAGTTTTCTTTAACTCTAAAAAACAGATGTCTTACTCATACAAGGACAACACTAAAAAGTAGTACTCTAAAACATTACAAAACAGGTGTCGTCAAGCATTTTACACAACTATTTTTAAACAGTAGTCTGTAAATATATCATACAGCTGCTCGGAAGACTACTGAAATCAGCACCGTGAGACTACTAAAAGAAACAGTTGTCAGCATCTGTTTTTGACGTAGTGGTGGGGCAACCCCTGGGTTACTCCCAAAAAGCTCCTTGTAGTAAGTAGTAAAAAGGCCAGCAATCTCCTCCAAGGATGTGGTGATCCCTTCATGTTCTGTAGAAATGAAAGAAATGGATTCGGTGGTGTTCTGCTTCCTCATCAAAGCATGGAAGTACTTGGTGCATTTATCCCCCTCAACAATCAAATCTGTTTTAACCTTCTGCTGGAAGAAGGCTCTCTCAACCTCAAAATAAAAACTTGCCTTTTTCCTTAGCATATCACTCTGTTTTAAAAGGTTTTGATTATGAGGTTGAAGTAATAAGTCCTTCATGACAGCAGTGTATTCCCTCCTGGCCTCTTTTGCCCTCTGTGATATGTGACCAAATTCCTGCTTGTTGAGCTGCTTTAGAGGTTGTTTTAGCATCTTCAATTTTTTGCAAAGTCTAAACTGCCTGGTACCCTCCACCCAAATGCTCTTGTTGTTCTGTAACAGACCATCAAAGGACTGATGGTTTAACCACATATTGAAGAATTTGAATGGTCTGGTTCCCTTGGTGGTGCTGTTAATGATATTCAGAATCACAGGACAATGATCAGAATCCACTTGCATATCACCAAATTCTGGCCATCACTCCCAGTTAATGGCTTCCCAATCATGATTCACCAAAACCCTATCCAACTTAGCCCATTTGTCCCCTTTGTTCCAAGTATAATGTTGTCCAACAGATTTGGCATCTATTAGGTCATTATTGACTCTGAATTGTAAGAGATCATTCATGGAATAAGTTGAATGGGTATGACAGTTTAATCTTTCATTGGAGGCAGCAACACAGTTAAAGTCTCCCATGATTGCCCAGGGTATTTGCAGATTCCTAGCAATAGTTGATAGATTATCCCACAAGTTCCTCCTGATACGGACATTATACAAAGCATAGACAAAAGAAATAGCAAAACTTTTTTGTGTGATCAAGCATTGAGCCTCACAGTGAATAAACTGGTCAGTAGTAGCCTTGACAACACAATTAACAAAATTAAAATTCCAAAATGGCCATTCTCCCTCCCTCAGTCATAGTAAAATTATCAGCAAAATTCTAATTGGGAAGTTTATTGTAAGTAAAAAGTTTAAGTTTGGCCATAGTCATCTTGGTTTCAAGGATGTAGCAAAAATGGACCCCAAGATCATGCATGTATTTACACAAAAAATGCTGTTTAGAGGCCCTATTAAGGCCTCTAATGTTCCAGCAAAGTACCTTCATCTGCGGTTAGGCCCAAAGGCCCTCCCTCTACCTCTGTTGGCACCCCCATGTTGTTTCCACTCCTTCATGGATTTATTCAATGCAAGAGAGGCATTAGGCACGGGGATTCCATGGCACCCACCCTGTTTCTTTTTTGTGTGGAATACTTCTCTAGATTGATGAAGATGATGGTCAAACAAAGGAGATTCAGCTATCACTTGCTTTGTGCTACTTAAAAGATAACCCATATTGCCTTTGCTGATGATTTGATGCTATTCTCTAGAGGAGATGTCACCTCGGTTATAGTCCTGACAGATGCTCTTAGACACTTCTCTCAAGTTTCTGGACTTCATGTTAACCCACATAAGTCTAACATTTATCTTGCAGGTGAAATTAAGGACAATAAAGATGACATTTTGAACCTGGTGCAATTCCCTGTAGGTAAACTACCTGTCAGATACCTGGGCTTGCCACTCACATCTCAAAGGGCTTCTGAAAGGGACTTTGCCCCCCTTATTGCTAAAGTGGAGGAGAATATACATAGATGGAATTCCAAGACATTGTCCCGGGCAGAGAGAGTGGAGCTGATTAAGAGTGTCATACAAGGAATTCAGAGTTTTTGGCTTCAAGCCTTTCTAGTCCACAAGTCTGTGCTTAACAGGATTACCACTATTTGCAGAACTTTTCTTTGGGGAAGTAAATTTTCAAAGGTTGCTTGGTCTGATATTTGTAAGCCCACTGAAGAAGGAGGTTTGGGACTTAGAGATTCCTACACCTGGAACCAAGCTATTCTGGTCAAGAACCTTTGGAATATTGCCTCTAGGAAGGATACACTGTGGGTAAAATGGGTCCATTCTGTTTATCTTAGAGGCAGAGAGATCTGGAGCTGGACACCTAAGAAGGGTGACTCACACCTCTTCAAAAGGCTGTCCATTGCTAGAGACACCATGATTGAGAAATGTGGGGGGCTTGATAACATTGAAGAGTACATACAGGGTCTGTGTCACAATGGGGCCTTTAACACCTCCAAGGCTTATGATACCCTCAGAACTAGAAACCCTATTAAGCCTTGGATGAAGTTTATCTGGCAGGCCTACATTCTCCCTAGATTTTCATTCACCACCTGGTTAGCTTTACGTAGGCGCCTACCCACCAAAGTTAACCTACCCTTTGTGGAAATGGAAACTAGGAACTGTAGTCTTTGTCATATGGAACTGGAAATCTCTGAGAACCTTTTCTTCTTTTGCCATATCAGCTCACAGGTTTGGAATGGGATCAAGCAGTGGCTTAACATTGATGCTTCACTCTCCACAATAAAAAGAGCCATCAAGTGGCTAAGGAGGCAGCATACTGGACACAACAACAGGAAGAAGTTTTGTAGATTGGGAACTATGAGTGTCATTTACCACATCTGGAAGATGAGGAACAATGTGTACTTTGATAATCATGTTGTGGATGTTCAGAAGATGATTTATATGATCAAGTTAAGCATGTACAAGATTATGTTTAGGCTGTTCCCCTATAGCCTAACCACTTTGACCTAGAGGTGGTTGGTGCTTCATTTAGGGGGTTGGTGCCCTTGGGTTTTGATGCTTTGATGGGTGGTGGTTGAGATGACACACTTTCTGCTTTTGTTTGCTAGAAACAAACTAAACTCCAATCAACTCATCTTTGGTGTGGTTGACTAGAGAATAGTTAGGGTCTGGTTGGGGGTTACCCCTAGGTGGTTGCTTGTTTGGAAACAATCTAAACACTACCCACCTACCCTTTTGGGTTGGGGGTAGTGAATAGATTGGGTCCCGGGGTTGGGTGTTTCCCTTGGTAGTGGCTGCTCGAAATAAATTAAACTCCCCATACCCTTCTTCTTTAGGGATATGTGAAGAATAATTTGGGTCCTAGGTTGTGGGCTCCTTGGTGGGTGGGGTTCAGGTCTTTTGTACCTGCCCCTTGGGGGACCTTGATGGCTTGCCATTAGGGTGGTAGGAAACAAATTTAACTCTGTGCACCCCTTCTAGATGTATAGAGAGACTTTTGGGTCCTGGGTTTGTTGGGGGTTTACCCACTTTCCCTTCCTTCTTCCCCTCTCCCCCCTTCTTTTCTCCTTTTCCTTCCTTTCTCCCTCACTTTGTCCTCTCTTGGAACCATGCCACACTAAATTAACCCAACTCTTTCTTCTGATTGGGCTAAAGTAGAGTGCCCTGGCTCCTGGGTAGTTTTTTTGGGTGGGTTTTTGGCTGTGGAAACAAACTTACTTCTTCCTACCCGTTTTGGGTGGTTAGAAGTGGGATTGGGTCCTGGTTTGGGTGGTGTCACCAACTCTCCTTCCCTTTGTCTTCCCTCTTTCCCCTTCTCTTCTTCTGTTTACTTATCCCCCCTTCTCTCTTTGTTCCTTTCTCCTCTTTCCTTGTCGTTTTCCTGGATTTAGACCAACTAAACTAACCCAGTTTCCTTCTACTTGGGTTAGGATAGCATGGACTATATCTTAGTTTTGACTTAAATCTGGATTTCATTGATGGATGTGAATTGTGTTTGTACTTTGGAACTTTGATCTTTCTGACCTTTGTTAGAAACTACTCTTTATGGAAATCTTTAATGGCCTGCCATCTCTTGGATTTGTACACAGATAGCTTGGATTGATGGTTTTTGGACCCTGCCTGGTCCTCAACCCTCTTTGTGAACTGATTTGTTGATACTGCTGCTGATGAACCTCTACCTATACCATTGAAATATGGCTGTTGGAGATTTGTCTGCAATCTTAGCAAGCTCTCCTGTACCAGTCCACTTAATGAAGATCTTAATTGCTGTTGTAGGGCCTGTGATGATCTCACTTGCTGCTGTATGCTCGGTGATGCTGATGACCCTGCCAGTTTTCTCTTGCTACATTGGAGTTATTTTGTTGTTATTCCTATACTTACCCTCTGGTGGACCATGTTGCTATTCGAATACATTGATGTTACCTGCTTAACCATGAGGATGGCCTTTGTGATTAGCCTAGCCCTTGTGTGTGTGTGATGATCAGACCTTTGATAACTCGAGTGACCTGCTGTACGTGCACTAATCTGAAAGTGATGAAGTGTGGTGTACCCCATGTAGAAATTGCACCACCTTTTGATGCCAGTGTCTATGTGTTAATGACACCCTGAAATCTGAAATTGTTGTAATGTTGTTGTAACCTGTTAATTTGTAAACCTTGAAGTACTTTGCGTGTAACTTTGTTGTACTTGTATTTGTATTTGCTCTTGTAACCCGTATGGAGTGTAACTCCTTAGTTTGTAGGTATGCACGTAACCATTATCATGGTTAAGCATTTGACATTGATGTATTCGTTTGATATAGGTAATAATAATTTACATGTTACCTTGTCAGGCAAACTTTAGAGTTGAGTTTTCAGTCTCAACAGAAAATACATTCATTAGTGAGATACGAATATTGGTCCATTCTAGGGTTAATATTGACAGTGAATTGAATCTCTCGGAACGATGGATTATTAGGAAGTTCATATTAGAGAAGTTACGTACTCTCGAGACGTCTTTCAGTTCAGAGGTTTCTTTTTGCATATCACACGAATAGACTTCACACTTTCTTATAGACAAAATGGTTTTGTGTATGAATTCAAGATAAACTTGGATGGTATAGAAAATAGCTTTGCTTTCACCTTTATGAGGTTAACATCATTAGTCTTCAGTTGAGGAATTCTTCATCACAAGTTGTCAACAGCAACAACGTTCAGTCAATCAATTAATACTAAGGATAATGTCAATTTCCTAGTATGGTATTTCAACGAGGTTTTGCAAGAGTTATTGCTTAACAAATGATTTCGATTCATATGACATAATCGCATATTGTGTTGTAATGAGTTAGACATCAGAATGGGATACTTTAGATAACAGAGTTTATTGATTCTAAACGTTCGTGTTTGAATCAGCGATGAGATCGTCTTGAGTCCACATGAGGATCCTTGATATCGGCTTCACATATGTTATTCAACATTAATCGTTTCTTCATAATCGTCTCACTTTCGTACAACTTTGCGATGTAGATCAGTTTCGTCACTCGTGATGCGATGCACATGTTGATAACGTATTGGAGGGTCATATATTTTTCGTTTATTCTTTCGTCTCTTCACCGAGTACGAAAGTTCAACTTAAGTCTATGTTCGTTATAATTTCATTACCAATAATTGTTATCTAATGAGAATTTAACACAGTCAATATTTACCAAGTAAATCCTCATACCTTTCCTGGAGCAGAGGGATACGAGGATCGTGGATGTGATTGACATTTTTTTTAAATATCAAATTTTGATCCGAAGATCAACTTTAAAACAATTTGCTCCGATGCCAAATTGTAACACCCTAATCTGTACAGGTCTGCAGCCCCTTTTAGACTAAAGTATTATCTTGGTAATCGTAAAAATTTAAAACATTTCAAACCTTTTTATTCATCACAATAATATTTTTCATGACATAAACAATACGGAGTATTCAATATCGCGGAAGCTTAACAAATCATAATCACAAAAAATAACTTATTAATGTATTTCAATTCAAAACCATCACATCCATTTTGAAAATCTCGCCTCCATCTGCCTCCAGGATCACGTCACATCTGTTAGAATAAAAGACCAACGCTAGAGGGGGGGTGAATAGCGTTTGATCGGAGAAATCGCAGGAATTAAAAATTTAAAAGAGAAGTAAAGAGAAGAGTAAGAGGCACACCGAATTTTACCCTGGTTCACCACAACTTGTGGCTAATCCAGCCTCCCGAGAGACTCTCTCGAGCTACACTACTAACTCGTTAAGCTTACGGGTGCTTAACAAACCGTTACAACTTGAGAGNAATCCTTCAAAGGAAACAGACCTTCCTTTGAATCAACCGAGAGTGATACTATCTCTCAACGTGTCTAAGAACACAAGTACACTCAAGAACGAGACTCTCTTATAGAGTAGATTATGAGTAAACTAAGTACGCTCAAGAACAACTCAACCTTCACACAAGTGGCTCTAGAAAGCTATGGAAAATTATGATATTTGAATGCAATGAAAGTATAGATGTTGTGAAGTGAATTTGGTGAGAAAAGCAGACCCAAACACCCCTTTTTATAGTGCAAAATTAGGCTCCAACGGACCAATGCATTAAAGGAGTGATTAGCTTGATTTATGGGATTGAAAAGATTTGGGATCTGCAGAATATTGGCTTCCCATCGATGTTTAGGACTTACCCATCGCTGGTAAGCTAATTTTCCTTCAGTTTTGAAGCCAACGGTTACCTACCCATCGATGGGTAAACGCTTCCCATCGCTGGGTGGGAGGTTGACTTCAAACAAGGAAAGAATCAACCTTTAATGACCACCAACGGTCATGCCTTCCCATCGATGGTATACCCTTACCATCGCTGGGTTCCCATCGATGGGATAGGCTTCCCATCGCTGGGCAAGGTCGTTCTGCCTTGTGGTAATTTTGCACCCAGGCTCTAACAGCGATGGGTGGAACTCCCCATTGCTGTTTGGCATGGTTCTGGAAACTGGTTTGGCTGAGGGGCCGCTTACCCATTGATGGGAAGATCTTCCCATCGCTGGGTTAGTGGTTAGTCAAGAACCCATGGTTTTTGCCTTACCCACGGCCTAGCCAACCGATGCGAAACCCGACCGAAAAATTCAAAGTTCTCCAAAATAAAAACCGAGTGTTTAAAACACTTATTTGATGTATTTGGCTAATAAATCGAGTAAGACACTTTAAAAACCACGTCATTTAAGTGAAAACCACGGCTAGCCAAGTTTTATGTCGTTTTGAATGATTTTTGTCAAACGACCAAAAGCGAAAGATGGTTTTCAAGGTGTTTTTGTTGGAGAACCGTTTAAACATGCCAAAGAGTAAAAACCAATCATAAAAAGTTGAAAACCACTTGGTTGGTTCGGACGCCAAAAACCATAGCCGATAACCGAGAGCCGAACGCCAGTTTCTGAAACCCGAACGCCGGATGGCTTGGTTTTTGGTTTGGGCGAACACCAAGTGTTTTTAATGACTTAAACATGTTTGAAAAGCATTTTTATGATTTAAGAAGTGCAATGAAGGTTTTTAGCCTAAAGAGCCAAGGTGTAAAGATTGGGTCGGTCTTGATCACAATGAAGACCGACTCAACGACACTAAGACTAGGGTCTTCGTTCTTGGTCTTCTTTTAGCTCTTGTTCTTGTCTTCCTTCTTCGCCTTGTATATTCAAAGTTTGACTTGATCACGGCGGTTTGGCATTATCAAAACCTGTCATGAAAACAAACACGGCTTTAGTACGAAAACGTGACATGCCCGTGTTTCAACAACATCATTCTTTTTATTAACCTGCGTGTAGCAAATAAAACATACTACACGCTCAACGTTGAAGCTAAGTAAGCATATCTAATGCGTCGAACATCCATATAAATTGAATCTCAATTCAGAATTAAATCATTTGATATCATGCACATAATGTTCAGTTCAGATAGTCAATCATCAATATTCAGTTTTAATCACTCATTATTCAACATTAATATTCATATTCAACATTCATCATTAATATTCATCATTCATATATAACATTCCTCAATCATCAATATCCTTAAACTATTCTTCGTCCAAGGCCAATCTCTTTAATGTTTATCAACTCTTAAACGAATTCTAGTTTAAGATATTTCTAACCAATTCTAAGACTATATTCTAGTCTAAGGTACTTTTATCCAATCCTCAAGCTAGGCCTAGTTTAAATAAAACTTACCTTTTTTTAAGGTCAACCAGAAATCGAACAGCGGAATGCTCACTGTCGGGTTGGGTGGT